AAAAAAATGTGAAAAATACTTGTTAAAACAGTCGAGCTCAAGGGAAGTATTTTTCGTTTTTTTTTTTCGACGGGTAAAACTGTAGTTTTTCGAACTTTTTCGTTTGTTTTTTTTTAAATTTTGAAATTTCATGTTAGGTGTTTTTACTTGTTTATAATATCTTCATTGGCTTTTTTTTTCGTAGCGTTGTTTAGATATGAGGAAAAAAATCGGTTCCTAGCAGACTGACTAGAATTTACAAGTTTTTACGATAAAAAAAATGAATTTTTCCATCGGCAGGAAAAAACGAGAGGAGAATTTTTCTTAGTCGCAGGGAATTCTTCCTGGAGAATTAGGGGCAGGCTTTCTGATAAAAATGCGAAAGTGAAAAATAAAAAATAAAAAGAGCGAAAAAAGTCATGTGAGCGGTTGGTTTCTTCCTTAGAAGTAACTCTCCGTGTTACATAGCTTTTTGTAATCCTGAAGTCAGTATTTGAGGGGAGTTGCCTACTGCCTTCAGCATGGTAATGTTGATCTATTTCCGATTGTTAGGTTAAGAGTGATTTATTCAAATTCCAGGATTCCCGGAAACTCCTGGGTCTTTCCAGTTATCGGGTTAGAATAATTTATAAAAATTCCAGAATTTCGGAAAATTCTGGAATTTTTTATTGTACATAACTACTTCGTAAAATCGTACGGTACCAACGTAATCCAAGTATTTTTAATACAGTGTTGATAATTACGGTTGAGGTGAGATTCCGTTAATGATGTTTTCTATACCTGTGTGTATGTATATTGGTTATTTTTGTAATCACATTTTCTCATTCAAAAAATTAATTATATAATTAAATGGTCACAAGAGGTACGCCTGTTGCTTGTTTTTGTTTTTTTTTTTTCTTTCCTGTTGTTTGTGCTTCATATTTGCCTTTTCTTTTTATTGATGTATTTATATCTTTCGGAAGAATGACTTTTATGCGAAGTAATATATCAGCAATTACTTCGTGCATAAGTTTCTCCGATAACAAATATCTTTGTTGTAAACATTTATAAATTTTTTTTTTTT